CCGCTGCGCTGCTGGGTCCGCCCGGGACGCGGACGCCTTCCTCTGCGGACCGGGCTCACACTTGTTAACGGCTGCGCTGCACGGAGCATGAAGGGAGGACCCTCCCAAACCGTCCTGGGTGCTGTGCAAAGAAAAGCCACTCATTTGACCAGCGTTCAGATGCTCGCATTGCCCCCAGCTTAGGCCGTTTTCTGGATCACGGGATTATGGGGTGCGTGGAGGGGGAGCCGTAAAGGATTTTCATGCTACCTGACACGTGTTGGTTCTTGACGCATTCCCAACAGTCTCCTGAAGGTGTTGGTAATCTCCAACCAAGTTCAGAGCCGTTGTCTGACCAGCCAGGTGTCTCCGGCTCTGAAGTCAAGCCTCTGGAGACCCCTGGCTTTTTCTGTCCGTCTGAGTTTTTCCTGTTATATAAATAGAACCACGCAGTGTGCAACCTCTTGTTTCCGGCTTCTTTCACTCAGTGTAACGCGGCAGAGATTTGAATGGACGTACCACAGTACTTATGGAACAGTCCCCAGTTGGGGGACATTTGAGTTTTTTCCAGTTTTTGGTGGTTATGAATACAAAGCGACTCGTGTAAAGTTTTTAGTGTGAATATAAGTTTTTATTTCATTTGGGTAAACACTTAGAAGTGGGATTGCTGGGTCAGATTTAACTTTACAGGAAACTGCCCAACTGGTTTCCAAAGTGTGAGTGATAATGTGTGAGTTATGGTTAGGTCGTATTCTTGCAAGCACGTAGTATTATCAAAAAATAAAAAATCCCAATTTTAGCCATTCTAAGAGTTGTGTAATGTATCTCACTGAAATTTTAATTCACATTTCCTTGATGACTAATAATGCTGGTCATCTTTGGCAAAGCGTCTGTCCAAATCTTATATTGATTTTTTTTAATTGGGTTGCTTATTTTCTTGCTATTGAGTTTGAGATCCAAATATATTTTGGATACAAATCCTTTGCCACTTATCATGATTTGCAAATATTTTCCCAGTCTGTATTTTTCTTAGGACTTCTGAAGAACAGAATTTCTTAATTTTGATGTCATCCAATTTATCACTTTTTTCTTTTATATGTGGTACTTTTGTTCTTGCATGTAAGAAATCTTTACCTAATTCAAGGTCAACAAGGGGTTTTTCACCATATGTTTTCTTCTAGAAGTTTTATCATTTTGTATTTTGTATTTAGGTCTATGATCCCTTTTGAGTTAACTTTTGCATAAGATGCAACATAAGGGCTGACATTTATGTGTCCCATGTGGATATCCAGTTGTTTTGGTACCATTTGTTGAAAAGAATATCCATCCTCTGCTGAACTGCCTTTGCACCTTTGTTGAAAATCACTTGGCATGTGGGACTATTTCTGGATCCTCTAGTCTGTTTTATTGAGCTGTATGTCTGTATTTTCTCTAATACATACTTGTCATGACTACTGAAAGTAGTTATAGTAATTTGAGAACTAAGGTGTATGAATTCTTCAGCTTCGTTTTTCTTTATCAAAATTGTTTTGGCTATTCTAGTTACTTTTCCGTACAAATTTTAGTATTAGTTTGTGAATTTTGGCAAAAATTGTTGATTGGAACACATTGAATCTATTAAATCAATTTTGAGAGAACTAGTATTTTAACAATGTTGGGTTGTTCAGTCCATGAACATGATCTGTCTCTCCATTTATTTAGATCTTCTTTGATTGGTTTTTATCAATTTTTATAGTTTTAAACATACAGATGTTGCACATATTTTGTAAGATTTATACCTAAGTATTTCTTTGAAATATTATAGTAAATGTTGCTTTTTAAAATTTCCAGTCGCTTACTGATTCCAGATGCTTACATGATTGTTTTTTGTTTTTTGTCTTGGATCCTGAGAACTTGCTAAACTCACTTTTTAGTTCTAGTAGCTTTTTGAAAGATTCTTTGGGATTTTCTGTGTAAATAAGCATGTCAGCTGCAAATAGAGACAGCTCAGCACAGCACAGTACAACCCTGAGCAGAAGCAGTGAGAGTGCACGTCTTTGCCTTGTTCCCGCTCTTGGGGGGAAACCATGCAGTCTTCTGCTATTAAGCATAATGTAGCTGAAGTGTTGTTTAGATGCCATTTATCGCGTTGAGGAAGTTCCTTTCTATTGCTAGTTTCTGAGAGTTTTTTTTTTCCAATAATGGAGGTTGAATTTCGTAAAAGGGCTTTCTGCTACTCTTGAGATAATCATAGTTTTCCCTTTTTATTCTACTGGTATGGTGAATTACATGTAAAGTTTTTGAATGTTGAACCAGCCACTCATTCCCAGAATAAACCCCGTCTCGGGAGAGTAGATTCTTTGATATATTGCTGACTTATTTAATATATTGCTGAAATTAATTTGCTAATATTTGGTTGATTTTGCATCTAATTTGTTCTTATATATTCTGGAAGAATTTATATGAAATTGGTGTTATTTTTTCCTTAAATGTTTGGTAGAATTCTCCAAAAAAGCCATGTAGGCCTAGAGT